GGTGCCGGTGATGCTGGTGTTGGTGATGCGGGCGCTGGTGGTGGCAATAGCAACAGTGATGCTCCGGTGATGCAGGTGATGCGGGTGCCGGTGATGCTGGTGTTGGTGATGCGGGCGCTGGTGGTGGCAATAGCAACAGTGATGCTGATGGTGGAGTGGAGGGAGGGGGCTGGTGATTTTGGAGAAGATGGCTGTGGTGACTGCTGATGGGGAGTCGGGCTACATTAAGGGATGACAGTGGAGGTGCCAACGGTAGGCAGCTGTGCTAATGACAGAGGGCCTCTATCTGCTCCCTAGAGAGCAGCAAGAGGACCAGCTGCTGCCTGACCAGAGGCCTCCCCAGCCTGGCCCTTCGCCACAAGAGGACATGCTCAACTTCCAGGTGCTGAGGAAGATCTTGCCCGTGATGGCGACGCTGGTGCCCTACTGGATGGTGTATTTCCAGGTGAGCCCCTCCCTTGCTCTGGAGGCCTGGCACCCACTATGCTTCCTGGTCGCACCCTGGAGGCCCACGGGATGTGGGAAGGGGGCAAGTTGGGGCAGGGATGGCTGCTTTGTAGTGGGTGGTGTGGAGCTGGGCATGAAGGCAGGCCTGTTGTGAGACCCCGTGGGTGACACAACAGGAGGGACTCTGGGGACAGGCCCGAGCTCTGGCGACTGGATGACGCCCCTTCTCCCTGGGCCTCGGTTTCCTCTCCTGAAAAGTGGGCAGCTTAGACGGGAGTCCCGGCAGCTCCGTGGCCCTCAGGGTCTCCATCTTGGCCGAGGAGACCCAGATAAGGTGATTCGCCGGGGCCCTGCAGAAGGTGGGGGTGAGCTCCAGGCTCTGAGGTGAGCCTCGGTGTCAGCTGCCGGGCTTCTAGGAAATACAGATTCTCAGGGAATCAACCGAAGGGCCCACTGACAGAGGACGGGATCAAGAAGATACAGCCTCCCTCAGCTACAGGAAGAGACAAAATAGCCATCTCTACAGCAAACGAGGAGAAGCCTTCTCTAGAGCAAACGAGGAGAAGTGTCAGGAAGATAAAGACGGATATTGGGCATTTCTGTATGTGTGAGAAAAACAAGGGATCGAAGCAGATGAATTAACCAAGCAAAATAAGTATCAACTATTGGACACTCCAAACGGGCAGCCACAGGAGAGGTGTCTGAGGCTAACTGAGGCGGGTGACGAGGGAGAAAGAGTCAGGGGATTTAAGGGGTGGTAGAGAGGAAGAAGGAAAACAGAGATTCCCAAGGCCCATCCTCAGGGGAAGTCCAGCCAGGCTTTCAAATCTTCCCAGCACTCCCCAAGGGGAAGAAATTCTCTGTGTGTGTGTGTGTGTGTGTGAGAGAGAGAGAGAGAGAGAGAGGGAGAGCAGTCCCTAAGCCCTAGACCACAAGGTCCTTGCTTCTGTGGCCCCTCAGAGGAACTTTGTTTCAAGCTGCAGAAGATGGGGTTACACAGGCCAGCCTGCTACTCGGGGGAGGTGGCCAGAGGTAGAGGGTGTCCAGGACAGGATAAGGACATGGGGGTGGTATTTGTGCTTCATGAGCAACCCAAGTGTCCCCCGGCCCCACCCTCCTATGGGGTTCTCCCCTCTAGTATGTGGCAGCTGCCATGGCAGGGGCCCCCGAGTCTGCACCTGCCCCCGGGGGCCACCCCATGGTTGTGCATTCATGACTGTGTCAGCCTGTTGGCCTGGGCTTGGCCTCAGATCTGACAAGCCTCCGTGTGGGGTCAGCCTTGTCATTATGGCCCCTGGGTCAACATTCACCCAGCCTGCTCTGGGCCGGGCCCTGGAGACACGAGTGACTCAGAGCAGCTGTGCCCACGCTCTGGGCTGAGCCACACGCGAGGCTCCCATGCCTGGAAGGCAGCGCCCAGACCGAACCTGGCTCCCAAGGAGGAAGGCAGGTGGGAGGGTTGCTCTGCCCCGCCGGGGGGTAGGGGAAGGATCGCCGCCTGGCAGCTTGTGCCAACCAGCCAAACTCTGGGGTGCGTGTCAGGTGCTGGGGGCCCTGGGCTGCAGGCGAGGCGGCTGCTGGCCCCAGCCTTGTCTCCCTCTCCCATCACAGATGCAGTCCACGTTTGTCCTGCAAGGCCTTCACCTCCAAATTCCAAACATTTTCCCAGTCAACCCCATCAACAGCTCCCTGGCTCTGAGAGCCCAGGGCAACAGTTACAAGGTGAGCGACTGCGTGTTCAGCCCCCAGGCTGGGGGCTTCCTCTGGAGAGAAATGGAGCTGCCTCCCTCTTCCCGGCCCCAGCTCAGGGTGTCCTCAGGGTGCAGGGAAAGCAGACCTGGAGGGTGTGATTCGGATCACAGCCCACGTTTTGGGCCAGGAGGGCCAAAGAATTCAGACAGTGTCCCTCCCACCACTGCAGCCCTGGAGCTGCTCTGCCTGCCTGGTTTGCACCCTCCCACAGTCCGTCCCTCCTTCAGCCCCACCCCTCCCTCTCTGGGACCCCTGGTGACACCCCTCCCCCACCCCCCCCCAGATCTCTGCCTTTCACTAGTCCTTTCTATCTAAACCAGTTCCTTGGCATGTGAGAGACTCAAAGTCAGAGGTCTTCAGATTGCAGGTGAATGAGTATCCATCCACGTACCTCCCTGCCTTGCCCAGGGCAGACACCACTCATCAATCAGCTGGCACGCTGAGCCCGGAATGTTTCAGGCAGAAATTAGAGAAGCCTGCTTCCCTCCTCCATCTAGTCCCACATCCTAGGAATGTGCATCTGGGGAGTGAAAGGGCTGATTCTGGGCCCCGGGCCTAGCTCCTCCCGCCCGGCTAGGCCACCTCTCCGGGCTCCCTCTTGCCCAGATCCCAGAAGCCTGGCTCCTGCTGGCCAACGTCATGGTGGTGCTGATCCTGGTGCCCGTGAAGGACCACCTGGTCGACCCCTTACTGCTGCGGTGCCGGCTGCTCCCCTCGGCGCTGCAGAAGATGGCTTTGGGCATGTTCTTCGGCTTTTCCTCTGTCATCGTGGCAGGTGTGTGGGCCTGCTGGGGGCGGGAAGGGCACTGGGGAGGCCTGGCCAAGCACCCCTCCACCTCACGGCCTGTCTCAGTTTCCCAAAAGGGAGGAGCTGTCCCGTTGACTCCAGCTTCCCCTCATTTTGACAGTTGGGGAAACTCAAGACAAGAGATGAACGCTCTTCCCCAGTAGATATAAGGCTCCCCAAGACAGATTTTGATTCCTTTTCTGAGCACTCAGATGAGGTGCACATGAGCACTCAATCAATGTGTTAAATGAATTTCCCGAAGATGCACGGGCATTTCATGGCCTATGGGGACTTCCTTTTAAAAGTAGTTCTGAGTTTATTCCTTCTGTTTCAAAAGGACTCAAAGCCCCAGGTACTGAAGGGCTGCGGCCAAGCAGCCGTTCTTGCTACTGCTTAGTGACAATGATCCTGATTACTCCGAGTCCCTGAACCTCATCTTTGTAACAGGGTAGTGAGTCCCCAGACTGGGTGCAGGGCCAACTCTGCCCTCGGGGAACTTCGTCCCTATGAGGACCCAGGACATGAAGTCCACAGAACACCTGGCACCCAGCCTGGGTGAAAGTAGGAGCTGGAGAAACCCCAGCTCAGTCAGCCACACGCTACTGAAAGGGTGAAAATCAAAATGAGGTACATTTGCAGCCCCCCGCTTTACAGCCTTTTGCCCTAGTCCATCCTCCCTATAATCTTGGGATGTGTGTTCCTGACCTTGCATAAGGCAACTGTTCCCAGGAGGTTGAGTGACTCGCCCAAGGTCACACAGCTAGCCCGTGGCAGGTAAACCTGTAAGTCAGGTTAGAGCCCCCTGAAGTACTTGGTGCTACAGTAAGGGAAACCATGCATTAGCCAGAGACAGCGGGTCAGCTCTGCAGCCAGACACTGGGCTCAAATCCAGCCTCCACTATCTGCCCGTCTGTGTAGGCTGCTCGGCCTAAGCCTACTTCTCACTACACTTGCAAGAATGTACACAGTTTACCACATAGTAGGCTCTCAATGAGACCTGTTTCTGTTTTTGACTGCAAAAACCTAGCTGAGCTTCCTAGCAGTCAAGGCAAAAACCAAAGTGGTAGAACCCAAATCCTGACACTGCCGCCTCGCCCCTGCATGCAAGGATTCTCTTCCTGACCCGATGCCCAGCCTGGCTCTGCCACAGGCTACCCCGGGGTCTCCCTCTGCCCTCACCCCGCAGGAGTCCTGGAGATGGAGCGTTTACAATACATCCAGCAAAACCGGACGGTGTCCCAGTACATCGGCCACGACCTGTACCAGGCAGCGTCACTGCCCATCTGGTGGCAGGCCCCTCAGTACTTGCTCATTGGGATCAGCGAGATTTTTGCTAGCATTCCAGGTACCCCGCCCCGCCCCCCCAACCCCGCAGCAGCGCAGGGCAGGGTGCTGTGGGGAGCCTTCAGGTTCATCTGTGTGGAGGGAGGAAGGGTTTGCTAGTGGGGCTGCACCCACCGGGTGGGATTTATCAGCGCTTAGCCAGGCCCCAGAGGAGCAGTGGGGATTTGGAGGTGAATGAGCTGGACACGTAGCCCACGCCTGGGCAACATGCCTACCTTGTGTTTGCAGATGCTGTTCCCTCGGCTTCAAAGGGAACGTGAGCTTTGCTTTCCTCACTGCATGCCTAAATGTCACCTCCTCTAGGGGACCCTGGGCAAGGTCCCTGGCTGCCTCCAGCCCTCGCTCTCAGGGCACATTTAAGTGCTGTTTCCTGCAGGCTAGGGCAGGCTCTTGGCCAAGAGGCAGGGTGGGACCCAGCTGCAGGCCCAGGGCTGGACGAGGGGGTCACTGAGGTGGGGGCAGAGGTTATCCTGTCATCAGTAAACCCCGGGAGGAGGCAATGTCGGGGAAGCCTGGGCAGGGCGGGCGAGCTGCAGCAGATGGCAGCCAGCACCTCACAGCCAGGACACCTGGCAAAGAGCCAGTCTCGGGCTGGGGAATGCAGGGCCTGCGGCTGAGCCTTGATGTGGAGGCTCTTCCTGAGAGCAACAGCCCAGCCCTGAGGCTTGGGGGAGGGAAAGGAACCCATTAGAGGGGTCTTAGGAGACTGGGGGGGGGGGCAGAGGGAACTGAGAGACACTGAGATTTCTCACATGGACTCAGCATGATTTGAAAGGAAAAATAAGGTAGGAAAAAAAACTTTCTGAAATGGGAGACAGCGCTCAGGGGGTCCGGTGGGCGTGTGTGGCCGAGTGGCTGCCGATGGGGGAGCGTGAGGGCTGTCCGGGGCGCCGTGCTGACAGCCGCGGGGTGGGCGGTTGTCGGGAAGCCAGCGAGAGGTGGGCTGGGGCTCTTTGCTCCCGCACACCTGGGTCCGTCCCCCTCTGCAGGCCTGGAGTTCGCGTACTCAGCGGCCCCTCGCTCCATGCAGGGCGCCATCATGGGCATCTTCTTCTGCCTGTCGGGGGTGGGCTCGCTGCTGGGCTCCAGCCTGCTGGCCCTGCTGACCCTCCCAGGGGGCTGGATGCACTGCCCTGAGGACTTCGGTGAGTGGGGGGCAGGGGCACCCTGGGAGTGGGACCTGGGAGGGAGGGAGGCATGGGAAGGTGCAGGCTGGGACCAGAAGGGGTTTGAGGCCAAACACGGTCAATCCCTCACAGCAAGGCCTCCCCGCTGGTACCTCAGTTTCCCCAAATGTCAAAGAAGAAGCCTTGAATTCAGTGACATGCAGGGTCCTTCCGTCAGCGAGTCCGCCACGCACCCTTCCTGTGTTGGCAGCTGGCTCACTGGGGGTCACAGCCCCCAGGCCAGCAGACACTCAGGGCTTTCGGCTCCAGGTTTTCAGACACACCTGCTGCCCCCAGGGGAGCCCTGCCCTGACCCAACTGCTGCCCCTTCCTTTCCCCAGGGAATATCAACAATTGCCGGATGGACCTCTACTTCTTCCTACTGGCCGGCATCCAGGCTGCCGCGGCCCTCCTGTTTATCTGGATCGCTGGCCGCTATGAGAGGGCGGCGCACAGCCTGGCCTCCCAAAGCTGTTCCAGCAGAGACAGGGGCTGAGCGTGCCCCCCACACCGCCCCCCGCTTCTGCCCGGGACCCAGACGGCGGCGGTCTCGGCTGGTTTCCGTCTCCGTTTATTCTGTACCCGACATCAGGATGAAATGGTTCCCATAAATAAGGGGCATGAGCCCCTCCTCGTGACCATGGTCCATGACAAGGGGCAGGGCAGAGGGGCTGGGAGGAGTCCTTGGCGAGGGACCAGGCAGGGGACTTGGGTCCAGCAGCAGGAGGCCGCCCGGGCTGGTGGCCGGCGACACAGCCCCAACAGGCCAGGCGGGTCAGGAGCTGCCCCGGATCCTCTCCATGTAGCTGCGCAGCTCCTCGGGGTCCTTGAGCCCCATGTCCTCACACACCCAGCGGATGTCCTCCTCGCCCGCCACCAGGATGGACTGCACGGCAGGGGCCCCCACGGGCTCCTCTGGCAGCTCGGCTGGGGGCGCTGGTGCAAAGGTGACGAACTCCACCCTCTTCCGCCGTCCCCCTGCTTCCTTCCGAGCCAGGGTGCTGGAGGAGCTGGTGGTCCCCTCAGCAGGGGCTGGGGCTGGGGCCGGAGCCAGGGCCAAGGGCTCCCCTCCTCCCCCACTCTCACAGGGACAGCTCCCCTCCCCTTTGGGGGGGCCAGGGGACTGGCGGTCCAGCTGGCGGCTCAGTTCCTCCTGGTCAGTGCCCAGCCAGACCCAGTTGTGGGGCTGGGGGGAGGCAGGGTTAGTGGCAGTGTCGGGGGGCTCCTTGCGCTGGTAGCGCAGCACGAAGACCACGCCATTGACCAGGAAGATGAGGATGGCCAGGCAGAAGATGCCCAGCAGGGCATACATGCCGAGCTCCAGGTCCGTGACCCGCTGAGGGGCAGGGACCATCTCCTCCTCCTCCTCCTCCTCTTCCCTGGCCTCGGTCTCCTTCCCGGCCTTCTCCTCTGCCGGCTCGAACTTGCCCCTCACACCCTCGCTGGCCCCCAAACTGCCCGCTGCCTGCCGTTCACCACCCTTGCTGGCCTCCGTGGCTGGCGAGCTCCCAGCAGGGCTGGATGGGAGGGCAGGAGGCGGGGTGGGGACCGGGGGCAGCCCCAGCCAGGCAGTGCCAGAGGCCAGGGGCACACGGTGGCGGCCCCGGCGGCAAGGCTCGGGCGGGTGCAGAGCCACGTGCAGGGGCAGCCCCTCGGGGCCCGCCCCACTCACCACCACCCCGAGCTGGGCGCCCCGCTCCTCGGCTGGCAGGATGGCACCAGGCTCCTCGGCCGAGACAGACAGTCCCAGGTCGCGGTGGTCGTAGAGTTCAGCGGGGGCCAGGGTGTGGTCAGAAAAGGACAGCCACAGGGAGAGGGCCACCTCCTGCGGGGCACACGGACACAGGCAGACACGCGAGGGCACGCATGCACACAGAGGCCACTCCCACAGAGACAGGCCACACGGAGGAGGAGGGACCAGAGAAAAACAGACACAGGCGGATGGACAGAACACAGGGAGAGAGGGGACACGCGTCAATCACCTGTCTGCACTCAGCCCCCAGGCCTGAGTTATTCGGAGGACCGCAGCTAATCCACTAGCCAGCTAATCCACCTCCCACTGCCACACTCCAGCCAGGCACCGCTTGATTACCTCCGGCCACAGAGAGCTCACTACCTCACCGGCAGTCAGCCCTATGGTGCCATCAACCCCCAGCCCCGAGGCTGACCTCATCCCCCTGATCCCCAGTTGTCACCTGTTTGGGGGCAGGAAGGGCTGACTGTGCCCAGCATGTGGCTGTGACCTCCCCTGGGTGGGCAGTGCCGCGGCTCAGAGCCAGTGAGATGCCCATCACCGGCTGGACCCGTAGCTCCAGCACCGAGACCTTGTCATCCGTCACAGCCAGCGCCTGCTCCCCGAGGATGGAGTCAGACAGTGGAGATCGCACCTGAAGGGGAGAGGGAGCAGGAAGTGGGGGGTCTCACACTCAACCTCTGCCTTCTAAGAGACCCCAGCACTCCCACCAACGGAGGCTGTTTTCCTCCACCCTTTGCTGGCAACGTAAGTCATACATACCTGGACCCCACCCTCACCTGGATAGTCTCTTGCCCTGGCCCCCCATATACCCAACCCAGCCCTTCACACTACAGGGGTATCCCAAGACACAGCCACCCTATTCTCTCCCAGCCCCCAATTCCATTTGGGTTTGGACCTTCACAGGTAAACCTTGAGTCTTTGGTCCCACTTTGGTCCTACCTGCCATGAATAATCCATCTAGGGCCATCTAGGCCCTTCTGGGGGCAGGGGGTCTACTCACCTCGATGGAGGTGACGCCGGGCTCCCGGCCCACCAGAACTCGACCACCCTCCAGCGAGGCCACGCGCGGGTCCTGCACGCGGGCATGGGGTGCCACAAGGTGAGACACGTCCAGCAGCCAGTCAGGGCCAAGCAGGTGGGTGAGGCGGCGGCCGCCGTCCAGCGGGTGGGCCGCAAAGGGGACGAGGAAGCGCACACCCGCACGCTGGTACTGCAAGCGGCAGCCGCGGGCTCGCCTCTCAGCCTCCTCTGCAGCCGCAGCCATTGACTCCGCCGCCCTGGGGTGGTAAAGAGGAGCCAGGGGCGGGTGTCAACGCGGCCCCGCCCCCGCCGCGGAGGCATCGCCTACTGGAAATGCCCAGCTCCTATTGGGCGCAGCTTCTTCAAGCTCCGCCCACGGCCACACCCCACGGTTAGGGGCTTCCACCTGTTGGAGCGGAGCCCCAGGCCGGGCCCTGATTGGTGCCTCTACCTGTCCATCAAGACGCTCTGGTCCGCCTCTCGGTCCTAACGGTAACAGTCTGAGCGGGTAGGGGAGACTCTAATGGGGTGAGCGAGGCGTGCCCACTGGCTGGAGGGCCTCGGCGTTTGGATCCAGAGGCAGGGGCCACCTCACTCTTGGGCGCTGGTTAGGAGGGCCCTCTACCTATGTTTTCTTAACTTTTTAAAACAATATGTGTATTTTTACATCATTTTGTGCCTTTTTCCGTCTCAGTTGTCATCCCCGTGTGCATCCAATCACCCAATCACCCATGTGCCATCACCATAGTCCAGTGCATTTCCCTCCCCCCACTGTTTCCGATCCCATTCCCCACTCCACCCCCATAAAATGTCTCTGGTATATAGCTGTTCATTATTATTATTATTTTCTCTCCTGATCTTTTATACTCCTGCCATGAATGAAACCATCCGGTATTTTTACTTTTCTTTCTGGCTTATTTCACTAAGCATGATCCCTTCGAGCTCCATCCACGTTGCTGCAAAAAGCATGCGTTTATTTATTTATTTATTTTTGGTTGCCGAATAATATTTCATCATGTATATATACCACATCCTTTTAATCCAGTCAAAGACCCCTATTTACCGAGATGACTGTCATCTGAGGCTGAGGACACAGCAGTGAACAGAGCACATGAGCGCCCTGCCTTCAAGGGTTCACACTCGGGAAGGCACCGTTGGGGCAGGCAGCCCACAGCAATTAGCCGGATCATGCAGTATGTTAGTGAGTGATGGGTACCAGGAGAGAAGTGAGTCAGGGAAGGAGAAAGAGTGGGAGCTTAGCAATTTTAACAAAGCTCCTAGGCCCTCCAGCCAGTGGGCACGCCTCGCTCACCCTCATTAGTCTCGCCTACCCGCTCAGACACCGTTCCCATTAAGACCAAGAAGCGGACCAGAGAGTCTTGATGGACAGGTATAGGCACCAATCAGGACCCGGCCTGGGGCTCGGCTCCAACAGGTGGAAGCTCCTAACCCTGGGTGTGGCCGTGGGCGGGGCTTGAAGAAGCTGCGCCCAATAGGAGCTGGCGCCCAGAAGGGCTGGGTGGGCAGAAGGAATAGGGAGCCTGGGGGGGGGGGTTTCAGACTCCAGCCAAGCCCTCGGCTGTGTCCGCCACACCCTCTCAGGGTCCCAGTCCGACTATGCCAGGGCCTGCCAGCTTCCCCAGGCTTCCACTCACCCTTCAGCTGGGCCGGGCACTCTCCAGCCTCGGACCTGCTCGAGGGTCGTGTCGGTCAGCTCGATCCTCAGGGGCAGCAGCGGGGCCCAGACGGTCATCCGCAGCGAGGCTCGCAGCCGGCGCCACCAGAAGTCCACCCGCACGCCACGTGCGCCCCGGCTCTCCTTGCCAGCCACAAACACAGCATCGCAGGCCTCAGACACCTGTAGGAGCGCAAGGGGGCCAGAGTGGGCTGGGCTCCAGAAGCCAGGTGTGGACCAGACGGGTCACTGAGCCAGCGCCATAGGGATGCCGCTGATGCACTTCTACATTGTACGGAACGCGTGTCCTGAGGTCATTTCCCATGCACCTGAGGTCACTTCCTGCAGTCTACCTGGAGCTCAGGTAGAGAAACTGCTTAAGGGAGTGGTCCCAGCTATCTGAAAGGAGAATGTGGTAGGTCATTTTGTGGATCTGGGCAGTTTTCCATATAAATTAGTGTTAAAAGCATTCTCAACCCCCCAAATAACCTACCAAATCAAAACTAAAGCCAAACCTTCTACTTTCAGATAGGGAGGGGAACCTGCATTCATATACAGAAGAATCTTTCTCCTGGCAGAGGATGGTTGGAACCCATAAATTTGGTTCCTGGTTAATGCCAGCCTCTGACCTTGTTGCTAGAACCACCTGGCAGATGACAACAGGTAGGTGGGCAGAGGCAGGAGCCACACAGGCAGATCCGTCCCCACCCTGGTGGCAGGATGTTGTAATGCATCCCTCGGGGCTTCCCCTCTGAGAGTTCAGAAATGGGGAAAGTTGCCCTGTCCCTTTCACCACCCAGGTCATTAAGAGGCTCTGATAATAATAATTATCATTATTTCTTATCCGAACATCATTATTACATTATTCTAATAGCAGCAGCTGCTGTTTCTTCAGCTCTGGCTCTCTGCAGGATACTGTTTGGGGGCGCGCTCACAACAGCCCAGGCAGAGGCCTGTCTCCTGTCTTCAGGCTGAGGAGACTCAGGCTGGCCAAGTTCAGAGACTCCTCCTCCATCATGGAACCGGTTGAGGACCAAGAGGTGTTTCAGTCCAAACCTGTCTGACCTCCCAGTCCCCGCTCTTGACTCCTGCACCTCAGCTCGTTTGCCAGTGCAGCAACCAGGGCCAAAGAGCCAGAGCTGAGGCTGGTGAGGTGACGGAGCTCCCACCTGATGCTGTAGAGAGGTGGGACCAGTGGGCTTTGAAGTATGGTTCCTCCAGGGGGGTTTCTGGTATGATGAAGCTGACTTGGGGACCTGAATTGGGATGAAGGGGGGCGTTGCCTACTCCGGGGGGGGGAGGGGCGGCAGGTGCGGGCCATTTACCTGCAGCACCTGTGTGTTGGCCGACTCGCAGCCGACGTGCTCTGTCACCTCCACCAGGGTCCCCCCTCTGTCCACGGTGACAAGGCGCACGGGGATCCGCCGAGGCACTCCAGTCAGAGGCGCCGTGTTCACCAGCTCTTCAGCCTGGGGGTACAGGGAGCTCAGCCCCAGCTCTTACCCCCCTGACCGGCCCCCAGCCTGACCGGCCACCCTGACGCCAGCCACCCTTACCTTGGCTAGCGGGACAAGGGCTCTTATGTCCCGCTCTGACACCAGGATCTCCCACACCATTTTGTCCTTCTCAGCTTCGGGGGCCTGGCCGGGGTACTCCAACTGCCACGTGACAGGACGAGTGACCGCCATGCCCCCACCAGTGCCATTCTCCACCAAAAAGTCCACCCACAGGAACTCGGACAGGTCTAGGGGGCTGCTGGCCAGAAGAGAGAGAAGCTGAATGCTTGGTAGCTGCAGGCACTTTGGAAGTCCATCCTGTGATTACCCCAGAGGAGAAACTGAGGCCCAGAGGCTCTGTAACTAACCACAGGTCGCACAGTGAAGGGAAGTGGGACTGGGATTAATCTGCCCCCGGATGCCCCTCTTGCGACTATGAACTCGTGGGGTCCCTGCACTAGCATCTCTGCCATCCCCGAAATGCCTGTCAGCTCTCCTGCTTTTCTGGGTCCCTCAACTCACAGCTCTGCTTCCCAAACCCCCTGGGGTGGCTAAAGCCCCTGATGTCAATTGCTGCCAAGGAGGGAGCCCTGCTTCTAAGCCCCAGCAGTAGGCACTGCACCTCCTGATAATAACCCTCACAGCTTCTTCTGCTGTCCCAGAAACTGGCCAGGAAGTTGGTATACAGCATCTAATTTGATTTTTATCAACCTTAAGATGCTTTATTATCCCCCTTTACAAGCGAGGAAACTGAGGTGTGGGTGAGGCGAGGTTGCCTGATGTGCTTAATGTTATTCATCCAAAAAGGTCAAAACTGGGATTCAAACAGGATACAAAGCCCATGGCCTTGACCCCAGCTCAGGACGCAAATATGAAGTGTTCATAAAGAACTGTAACTGGGCTTTGGGTGGACTATTAATGACCCAGGAAAAACGGAGCCATTTGGCAGTGAGCAACAGGGTGGTAGCTGGCAGTGGCTGGAGAGAAAGAGTAACTGAATGAGTGAATTAGCAAGTGAATAAATGAATAAGTGAATGAATGAGTGAGTGAATGAATGTGTGAGTGAATGAATGA